TCCTTTTGTTTGTTTGTTTGTTTGGTATGAATGTCGATATTTACTATGTGTGTTTGTATGGATTGGAATTGCAGGTCACCACCGGTTTCGGATGCCTTTGCTGGAGGTTATCCGTCAGATGAAGAGTGGCATGGATACGTAAATAATAATGATCGTGTACTTCTCAAGGTATATTTTCTGTCACTGTTATGGTGAAAACATTTTGGAAGTTGATTGGTTGGTCATCATTTATTTCAACACCGTATTGAAGGTTTTTCCTTAATTCGCGAACTATTTCCATTTTCTTTTCACTTTAGTTTCTGCCATATTCTTCCTGATCATTCATTATGTTATGAATAGTAACGAAGCTTAAGCTATTGGATGATCATTTAAGATATATTCTAAACACTCCCTGACATGTAGGCTCTGAATTTTTGTTTGCTACATGTGATACTAGAACTTGTTTTTGAGGCCTGTTTTCACTTTCTAATCTGGGTAACTTGAAAATTTCTCGTCTATATTATAATGACATGCAGTTTTGTTATTGTTTTTGAGAAATTTAGTGAATTTACTCTTTAAGTTTGGTTTTATTGTGCACTGCCCAGGTCATAAATTACTCATCACGTAGTTCCGCCGGTGCCGAGTGCATTGACCCCAATTGTACATGGGTAGAACAATGGTAAAATCTATTCAACTTATAGCCATTAACGATTGTAGGTCATGCTTGCATTGGTATAATTGAGCTGAAAGTTTTAATACTAACCTATTTCCAGAACTGTTGAAGTGATTGTTAATTTTCTAGAACCTTAAAAGACTGCTTGAAGTTCAATTATGGGGTGAACTGAAACTATGGCTAAGAGGGGAAATCACTTGGCAGTATGGACACTATGGGTTATTTAGCTTGTCAAGGGGATCATAGGGCTTCACAAATTTGGAAAAGAATTTCTTGCATATTTTCTTTCTCAAAGTAACTAATGCATTTTGATTCTTATTTACATCCATGCATAATATAACAATTCTAACTTATAGGGTTCATCGTGCTGGGCCTCGAGAGAAAATATATTTTAAACCAGAAGAAGTGAAAGCAGCAATTGTGACTTGTGGAGGTCTCTGTCCTGGCCTTAATGATGTTATCAGACAGGTTATTTTCATTATATCATTATTTTACTTTCGACTTCAAGTGCAAAAGTTATTTTTTTTTTATTTTTTTATTTCATGAACTTAAGCAGATTTCATTTTTAGATGTTATTGCGTCAATTATTTCTAAAAGGATATGCACTCTAGATTTTATTTGTTAGCTTGTTTTGGAAGAGGTTTTCAGCATTTTTTTCTACGTTCTCAAAGAATATGCATTCTTATACAGATTGTAATCACACTTGAAATTTATGGTGTAAAGAAGATAGTTGGGATTCCATTTGGATATCGCGGATTCTCTGACAAAGAACTGACTGAAATGCCGGTAGGTTGCTTATTTTCTATTGAACCACGTGTCTTATAACAGTGCTGCTTTTCACATGACAATGTGGTTGAAAGAGTTGCCTTAGCTGAAGCTGTTTAATTGACTTTTTGGTGGCGTTCATTCCTAGTTGTCCAGAAAGGTGGTTCAGAACATTCATCTTTCTGGTGGAAGTTTGTTAGGAGTTTCGCGTGGAGGTCCTACCATTGACGAAATTGTTGACAGCTTGCAGGTCTGAAACAGACTCTCTTAGTTCGATAATGAAGAGTTTTTTGGGAGTAGTCCATTTGAAAATCATTGAGGCAAATAATTGTCCGTGTTTCAGGAAAGGGGAATTGATTTGCTTTTTGTTTTGGGTGGAAATGGCACACATGCGGGGGCTAATGTGATACACAACGAGGTAGATCATAGCCTCTCTAACTTGACAATTTTGTATACTAGTTTCTCCTGATGTGCAGTGAGTACATTTGTGGATTTTGTTGTTGTACTAATATTGTCTTTTTTTTCATGATCTATTGTTAAGTTTGATTTCTATGTTTGCATTCTAAATTACGCTAGAAAAATTAGTGATAAATTGAGTTTACAACGCAAATTTGCAGTATTTTGGAATGCTCTCACTCTATATGTTTTTTCAATACTTCAAGCTCACCTCACAAGCGTGTCATATACTGGAATCTATCATTCTTCGAGAACATGAATCCAATAGGCATTGTATGATATTGCAGAACCAACTCTAAAGTACATGAATTTAATTAGAATCACTCTCGATCTTTCTTCAGTCTTCACTCCACTTTAATAAAGCGTGGATTTGCATTTAGCGAGAGTTTGATGTTTTTTGTTCCTATTAATATTATTACTTGGTCTTTGATTGTAATGAGACATCTCTGCTTCTTAATAGAAAAGGAAACACCATTTCTGACTTTGTTGAATATTTTATTTTTTGTTTAGTGTCGAAAAAGACGGTTAAAGGTGGCTGTGGTTGGCGTTCCAAAAACTATAGACAATGACATCTTATTGATGGATAAAACTTTTGGTTTTGATACTGCTGTTGAAGAAGCCCAACGAGCAATAAACTCTGCCTACATTGAGGTAACGTGCTTTCTATTGCTGAATCATTACTGCCGTGTTCATGTGCAACTTTCCTTCCTCATTCTGGAAGTTGTCATAATTATGTTTAAAAATCGGTGTAGGCACATAGTGCTTATCATGGAGTTGGCATTGTGAAATTGATGGGTCGCAGCAGTGGTTTTATAGCAATGCAAGCAGCACTTGCTAGTGGGCAGATTGATGTATGCTTGATCCCTGAGGTATGAGTCAAAATATCAATGTAACATTTAGTTTCTATTTACTTGATGCCATACTGATATCACCAATGGTTATTAGGTTCCTTTCCAACTACATGGGCCCCATGGTGTTCTACGCCATTTGAAATATCTCATAGAGACAAAGGGGTCTGCTGTGGTCTGTGTGGCTGAGGGAGCAGGGCAGGTGAGTTGGTATTGTTATTTTTATGAATATTTTAATTTCATGAATTGCACAAACGTTTATGAATCGTTTAATCTCTTTTTTGACTATTTTTATCATAAATGATTAGAGTTAAATACTGATGCTTTGCTTTAATTGCAGAATTTGCTACAAAAAACAAATGCCACCGATGCATCTGGGAACATTATACTGGGTGATATTGGCGTATATATTCAACAAGAGGTTTGTAAATCTACTTCCATGTAGATTAATCATCGTGCTATTTGAGGGAATCTATGATCCCCTTCTTACGTTGGTACATAATACTTGGGAGCTGTACGGCATTTTGCTGCTTGAAATTTTATGTTTTAAAACTGAACTAGGTGGTTCTTCCTTCACCTCGGCTTTGCTCCCCTAGAGGCAAAGAAATTAATTGAATTTGAGTAACCCTATCAACTATCATCCATCTTGCATTTCTCTTTTTTTCTTTCACTCGATAAAGCAGCCAATTCATCGACTCTCATGTAAAGGTTCAAGTTGCACTATCTCGGTAAATAAGTGTTTGTTTGGTTCTTTCTCCTTCCCCTCGTCGACAGTGAGTTTGCTTCTGAGCTTAGTAGCTAAGTAGCTAGTAGTAAGCTATTCAAGGCATGGTAGCTGATCGAGGATGTTTGCTGTGCACTTGGAAACTTGATCTGGATTATTCTGCTGGTGCATTAACATATCTTACCATTTTTTTGGCCTCTTCTTGCAGATGAAGAAATACTTCAAGGAGATCAGTGTTCCAGTTGACGTGAAGTATATTGATCCAACATATATGATCCGTGCATGCCGTGCAAATGCATCTGATGGGATTTTGTGCACCGTATTGGGCCAGAATGCAGTGAGTCCCTTTTCTCTCCTCCCTCCAGGTTCTTCAGGGGGTTTCTTCCACTAATTCTTCCTCGATTACAGGTCCACGGCGCGTTTGCAGGATACAGCGGCATCACAGTAGGAATCTGCAACACACACTACGTGTATCTTCCCATTCCAGAAGTGATTTCGTATGCCAGGATGTTGGACCCGAATAGCCGAATGTGGCATCGATGTCTAACTTCAACAGGTCAACCAGATTTTATGTAATCATCATCATCTTCATTCAATTTATATGCAAGAGAAACCGAGGGAGCAGGCAGGCAGGTAGCTTCGGTTTCTTTGTTTTTTATTAATTTATGCCAATGGTTTTGGTAAAATAAATAATGCAGTGGCAGTGAGAAATTGTCAAGTGTATAGCAGCACATTAGTACTTGAGATGATTCATTGATTAATAAAGGGTATATGGAGGAGAAAGAAACCAAGTTCTTGCGTCATTTTATTGATCTTGCAGCAATGCAATTGCAAATTATGAAGACTGATCTTTTATACAAAAACATATAGATTTGTGAGTCAATCATGTTTTGATTTAGTTTATCTTACAAAGAATCAGTTTATTGCTTGCACTCTTGAATGCTGTATATCTAGCGGTATGATGTGTTTGGAAAGTCCATCGAACACGTTGCCTACATTATCCTATTGTTGGCTTTCTCGCTCTCTTGAGAGAAGAGACGACAACATTACAATACTTGGTTGATCCTTGTTATATATATATAGTAATGACATTTTAAAAATTTAGTGACAGAATGATATTCAACCCGAACTTGCGCCTAAAGGTGTAAATTTTCTAAATTTAAATTTATATTTAGGTAAGAAACTTAAACTTGTGCATTTATCTATTAAATTATACTATATAACTATACAAAATTAAGCCGCTTATAAATTTAGGGTTGAATTATCGATCGAAATTTTCCGTTAGGGTATATAAGTAATATTGGAATGAATTTTTGTTTGTAACAAAGAGCAATTAAATAAATTGGCACCAAACAAAGCTATGATTTGGTACAAATTAAATTGAATTTAATATGACAACAAAATAAAAGGTGGACTATTCTAGAAAAATAATAATCCTCCAAAGACCGTATTTGGAAATTCAAAAATTCAATGGAAATTCAAAAAATAAAAGGTGGGCCAAGACAAGAATCTGGGCTGGGACACTATATAGGGTTCTCATCAGGCCATTCAGCCCTACTCCTACTCTCCACCGCTTCACCGATTCCTCTCTCCCGCCATGGCCATGGAGCTCTCTGCATCCCGAGCCATTTCTAACCTACCCGTTTTCTCTACTGTTCTCGCCGGAAACCCGCAGCTCCGTCCGAGGCACGCTCTTCCTCTCAGAATCGCCATATTCTCCCGCTCTACTCGTAGCCTTCACTTCCGTATGTTCTCCATTCATTGCATTCTCAGTGTGCCTTTGAAAACTTTCCCTTAGGTTGTATTGGGGTGTTCTCTACTTTTTAGTTGAATTTCTGTGTGTCGTTTGTGGTTTTTCATTTTCTTGATTGCTTGCTTTATGCTGTTCTTTGCTTTGCCTGCACTGTTCTTTATCGATTCTTCTGGTATAACGATGAGCTGATTAGCAATTTCGTTTGGATGTTGGGGGAATGTTACATGCATGTGAATTTTGAGGAGTTTTCTTTTTCTGAATTCGTTCCTAGGATGTCGTCCTTTTTTTGTTTCGTTGCCAAGAGCAGCAGCCTCTGATGATTCAAATGGGTATCGACCATTCATTACTGAAGAACGGGATGGTGCGATAATCTTGGAAGATTCTCCTGCTGAGAAGCTCCCATCCGACGAAATGGCGTCATCAGAAGAACCAGTTGAGGGTGCGCAAGAACAGACGTTCGATTTATGGAACGGTCTTCAAGTAAGGACTTATATTGAAGCCATGTGAATTGTAGTTTATCATGAATTTTTTCAATATAAATGTGTTAAATCCGTAAGTAAAATGCTTAAAGCCGTCTCCTAGTTTTTTTTTTAAAAAAATTCAACAACAGAATGATTTAACTTCAAAGCTACTTGGTTTTTGAATATGTTGGTTGTTTATTTATTTATTTGCTTCCAACATCTTCCCGTGGCTTAGGCTATGGCTAGATCCCACTGTTCAATGCCTTTTGTATCTTTGACAATTGTGTATGTGTGTGTCATTACTTGAGTAATCGGGGTTTTCTTTTATTACAATTTTTGGATGGCTTCTGCCATTTTATTAATAATAAAATAGAAATGTTTTGGGTTTTTTCCTTCTACTTTTTCAGAGTTAGTTGCAGTGATGATATCATCAAACTTGATAGCATATACCAGTGCTACATGATAGGTCGACAATTATGTTGTTGTCGACCTGAGCGGTTAATCGAGCAACCTAACTTCACTTGCTGGTTTTTCATCGTTGAATTTCTTTATCTTCAAAATTTGAAACTTTTGTTTTGTTGATTTTTCCCTATTTGCATGAATTGTGTCTTAATGTGCTCTGAGGGTTCTGATAGATTCATATAATTTGCCTCTGAGGAACAAGTTTCTCATATTGTGTCTTAAATGTACTGAGGTTTTCATTTTCCGTTGCGATTACTTTTGCTTGCAGTTCGAGTCTGTTGATGTATACAATCTTATCCTATATGGTGCTGGTGCTTTTTTGGGCCTTTGGTTGGTTTCAGCCATTGTTGGTGCTATAGATTCCATCCCCGTGGTGAGTAGTTTTTACATTACTCTCTGTTAGAGTCTGTATTTCCTTAGAACTGCAATTTTAGGGGGTCCATTGGTAAAGTTCTTTTTCATATGAATTTTTAACCGTCGAGTCTTGTAATCTAGGTTCCTAAGCTGTTGGAAGTTGTGGGGCTTGGTTACACAGTGTGGTTCACAGCTCGCTATTTGTTATTGAAGGTAGTTGCTTAAATTGGTTTGTTTTGAAATCCTGCATTTCCTCCAAATGTGTGATAAATGAGCTAATTTCTCTTGTTTTCGACCTTTCAGGAAAGTAGAGATGAATTGGCTGCTAAGGTTGACGAGTTAAAGGACCAGGTTGTTGGTTCGGATTGACGTCGGATTTGGTTGGAAAATTTTTCCTTTTATACTTCTTATTAGGTTGTTAGTTATCTTTGCATAGATATATTTACATCCTCTTGAATGGAAATAAGCGAATATTGCATTGATTGAGTACTGTTTTGTTTGTTTAATAGGAAAGAGAACGAGAATGATTGTAAATCTTTCACATGTTCAATAACACAGAGTAGGCTTTTATGCAATGGGAATAGGGGATGAGATTGATGGATTTTTCTTTTAGGAGATGGGATTTCTTATGGAGATGCTTGTTTACTATTGAGGTGGTGGAGGTAGGCAATATTCTAAGTTCATTTATTTTGTGTGTAAACCATGAACTTGTTGAGTAATGTCTTGACATGGTTGGAGAGAAGGTCGAAATTCTAATGTTGGTCCCTTGTTTTTGGAAGGTTTAATCGGTTGGTCGAGTCGCGATGGCTTCGGGAGTAAAAGTATTCGGGCTTCTATGAAACCATTTAGATTTTATAAGTTGGGTTTGTTTTCTCACCATTTCTTTTCATGTTTTCATTTCATTTTTTAAGGAAATATATGAGTTTTATTAAAACTTTGAAGGGAGAGAAAATCTTCACTCTTTAGGAGACTCCTCTAAAACAATCAAAGTATCGGGAAAAAGATGGAAAGCAGTCGAACAAACCTCTTCCTCTGTTTCCCTTTTGACCAAATCTCTTACCCCTTGTTGTCGGTTTGTTCTTCATATGTTGAATTTTATTTGCTTTCTTCTGTGGTTCTTTCCGAATTTGCTCTACATTTTTAACTTCAGGGCGTACATGAACATTATTAGCCACTGAATGCTTATTCCTGCCCCTCGTTTAATAGACAAATGAGCAAACTAAAAGGCAGCAAAGCAGCGTTTCTCCTCATCCTTTTTCTTTACCCCTTTTTTACATATATGTTGAAATACTAAAATAATATCAATGAATATTCGCGGTTAAAAACGCGATTTTTTTTTTATTTTTTTTGGACGTTCGATCCCACTTTTATTTTTCATAGCTTTCTCTGAAATTTATAAAAGAAAGATGTTCCTTATCTCAGAAAATAGCTTCATTAACATATTCCTAAGATCCAAATTGAGATGCAGAAATTGAAACTTGATAGAAACCCAAAAGAATGATTATTATTATTATTAGGCCATCTGACAGATTATCCACACTAGAAGTCCATATTTAAATATTATAATAATCAATGCAAAAAGTACACATAAAAAAGAGACTCCAAGACATCAAACAAAAATCATGCCCCTTCTGCATAGATTCTTGATCTATAAAAAAAACTTGGAATAAATTTGAGGTTTTATTTTAACACAAACACCCAATTGGTTGAAGAGTCCAACAACGCTTTCCCTATTCACTATGAACATTTTACATTAGGAAACGAAACCCAAATAATCCAAAGGAGATGAAAGTCGGGGAAAATCTTAGTGTCTAAATCAAGGCGGCGCACACAAGCTGGGGTTCACGAAGACCAGCCTTCGCAAACTCTGCAAGAACACTAGCTAAGGTTGCACTCAAAAAAAAAAAAAAGGCAAGGTCTGACCATTCTCACTCAGTTGTGCAAGGATTTATTGCAACTGCTCATCCAAACCCATGCCAATGAGGCAATCAGCTCAGCTTCATCAGAAACTACATGTTCCACTGTGCGTAAGGTCTTGTCATCAACCTCAGACCAATGCTCCCAAAGGAAGATTCTACAAGGACCCCTCTAAATGAAACCATATAAATGGCTATTTCCTTCATCCGATCCGATCCGCCAACAATATTTGTCATTCAACTGGAAACTTCACTTTAAGCATAAGCTCTCATGGCTTCGCCTTAATTAGCCGAGTTTGGGACTCCTCTCCCAACCATTCTCAACATTTAGATTCTAATACGAAAGCATTTCCTTATAAAATGTTGAAATTTGAAATCATCCCTATTCAAGATTTCATGATAGACAAGCAAGTGATGAGAAATCAACCAGAATCAAAATCTACATATTCAAAATTACAGTACACATTAGAAGCACATCTCAATCAGAAGCTGACATTCCAAGCAGAAACTTAGCCCGTGGTGACTACTAATCAAGAGGCATTCCAAACATTTTGTTGATATCATCCATGGCCTCTTTAGTAAACACTGTTGGCTCAAACAAATCACAGTCTCTTGGTTTTCTTGATGACTTTACAGGTGGCTGAGCCTGTGCAGGCTGCTCTAGATCATCATCAACAAGTATTGAGAACCCACCAAAATTATTCTGCACTTCTGGTGGATTTTCATGCTTCTTGGATCTCCTACTCCTAACAAATTCTATGGGCTTTCCAAACATGTTGTTGATATCATCCATGGCTTCTTTCAGGTTAACTGTTGGCTCTACCAAGCCATGGTGGCAGATGTTTTCCACCTCTGGCTCATTTGAAATGGCAGTACCAACAAACCTACAAACAACTGTATCTTCTCTAAACTTCGCTTCAATAGGATCTTGTACATCAGAATCGTCGTCATTGACATTTTCAGGATTGTACACACAAGGAAACACGAATGCTTTTGAACCTGATGCCGATGCCGTAGAACTTCCTACGACATATCGTGATTCGCTCAACTTTGATCCATCCTTTTCGTAACTTGTGTTGCCAAGCTCGCCACCCGCTTCATCGTCCACAAAAATCATCAAAGGCGGTTGTTCGAGCTGGCATGGTTCGGTCATACTACCGTGCTGTGGCATCTGCTTTTCTAGTTCAGGTTTCTTATCAAGATTCTCATCAGCAAACACCTCAAACCCACCATTTAAGTTGCAATGGCTTCTATGTGATCTCCTACCTATAGTTGCCATCTCTATTGGTTCAGAAAACATACTATTTATTGCATTCATTGCCTCTTTCATATTCACAGTTGGTTCCACCAAACCGTGGTGACAAGCATCTTCTGCTACAGATTTCCCATAAATAGCATTATCTACAAATTTCGCAACGACGGTGTCGTCGCTCCTAAGCATCCTGGCTTCAGCTGCTGAATCTTGAGGCATCTTCTCAGTCCCATTCTGAAAAATTCCTTTGTTTTGATCCTCATTATTGTTCACCACGGCATCACCTTGATTAGAAGTGCTTTTGTCAGACAGATGCCTCCTTGAAGTTTTTCCATGCTGATGCTGCAGGATGTCTGTTGTTCCTTAGAAAGCTAACTGAATTTTCTCAACAAGAGACAGAAAGTAGAGTGAGACAGAAAGTAGAGTGCATAATTACAAAAGGCTCACCTGGACTTTCTTATAATTGTGTTTTTTCATGCGACGAAGAAACTGCTCATATGACCTTTGTAATTCATCAATAGGTTCAGCAAGCCTGTACAACAACCAAAACATGTTTTTCCATCTTAACTTCTTGACACTAACAGCAGCTACTTCAATAGAAGATTTAATGATATTGATGCAGATATGAAAGTTAACTACAAAAATGATAGAAGACAGCCATGAGAATGATAAAATGTAATATGTGGGTAGAATTCACAAAATAGAATAATCTTATCCACAGAGGAAAAGGCAAAAGGTTGAGAACAAAGATAATTTTGACCAGCAAATCATGCAAATCATGACCGTATTTACTTAAAAATCTCATCAGAAATGATCCCTTGCCGGGAAATGACCTATCCCAATAGAAAAATCTCAATTCGTTGGGCCTTTCGATACAATCAAATAGGCCCCAAGGGCCTCCTCTATCTACTGCGGGTCAATGACTTCTTCTCCTTCTTGTTCTTCAAACTTCGATTCGTAGAGAAAAATTTCTTATCAACCATAGAACAAGATCTATTTTGTATTATATCTAAGGGATTCCTGGGTTCAAATCGAAGAAGCAATGTCATTCGATTATGCCTATATGAATTTTTCTGTCTCAGTTAAGCCTCATTGATTTAACAGATTTAGTCTCTACCTTGTTTCAGATGATTTCCTCGTGAGACTATCAACTAGTATTACCCTTAGCCAAGGCTATACAAGTTTACGAATTGTCCCGGCTTTCTTTTCTTTCAAGAGATTCGATTTTCGCAATGGGCACGGATAATGAAACTAAAGTACTATGATTATTGAATTATAAAGTGTTATCATAATGTTTTGAAGAAAGATAAAAGCACAAAAATATTTAGATATCATTCTCAAGTACCTCAAATTCTCTGGCAAAACCACACATAATCCATTTACTATTCTGTCTCAAACACGCATTTCTAAATCATCAATTCTCAATAGACAATGAATAAAAACATAGCTAACTCATTTGAATTTGGTTCAGAGTGTTAGACGAACACGACTCTCTACAATGGTATGATATTGTCCACTTTGAGCATAAGCTCTCATGGCTTTGCTTTGGGCTTCCCAAAAGGCCTCAAACCAATGGAGAGTGTATTCTTAGATTATAAACCCATGACCATTCCCTAAATTAACCGATGTGGGACTTTCATCATCCAACACAGAGAACAGGAGCCAATAGCACAAAAGTATACATATTAATCATAATATAAAGCCACACATAGGCGTATAGAAGAACAAGACATGAAATAAAAATGAATTCAAACTTCCAAATAAAAAACTTACTTCTGCACTCCAAAGTGGTACATTTTCTCAGCATCATCAAACTTCTTAAGCTTCTCATAGTACAGGGCGTATGCTTGGTAGAACAAAGAAGATTTACTCCCAATCCGTTTCTCTTCCATGGTTTTCAAGAGCGCTCTTGGATCATCCACATAGTCCATCTGATTATCAGGTTTGAATCCCAAAATCAACCATTATAAGCTATAAACATCAAACTCTAACTTCACTATTTTTCAAAAGAAAAAAAAAAAAAAAGGAGAAAAATCTCATTGATATGATGAAAAAAAATAATAATAATTCAAAGATACAAACTCCGAAAGGAAGTGAAAAAGAAAAAAAAGAAAAAAAAAAAAACAACCGAGATGAATTAACAAGTTACCAACTGCAACCAAACGCGAAGATACCGCAAATCGTTCCTATAACGCCGATCGGACTCGAACTTCTCGGTGCATTTCTGCAAGAATCGAGGAAGCTTATCGTTCAAAACGTGAGTAGGCAAGGAGTCTTTCATTTTCCGAATCCCTCTGCAAGAAAATGGCAAGGAATAAGGTGTGAGAGACAAAGAAGAAGCAGAGAAATGGGAGTGTGATTTTTTGAGGGTATACCGAAGCCATGGAAGCAGAGGGTCTTTGCCAGAGTATGACTTAATGTCTGAAATCAACGAAGAGAACAGGTCGTTGCCGGCCATGGCCATTAGGCATACACTGTGAAGCAGAGCAATGAGCAGAGATGAAAATGGCGGTACAACAAAATCAAATTGATTCGTTACCTTCCCTTTCCCTTCTGAATTGATTTCCTGGACCCGCTCTGGCCATGGCCCATGCTTGAGGTGGACGAGAAGCAAAGGAAATTGGGCTCAAGAGTCATGGACTAGGCCCATCTCTCCGCCCTTTTGCGACAAATTCGAACTAATTTGACCGTTTGAATATTTATGTCCGGTAAAATCTTAATTTTTTTTTTTTTATTTAGTCTAAAAAATGTCTTGAATGAACATCGGCCGCATGCTTAACACATACAAGTCAGACGAAAAGTGGTGTCTCCAATAGCAGACGGGTGAGTAGCACATAAGAAGCCGCCCTTGGAAGGGGGACAACAACTGCTAAACCCCGTACGTTGAGAAGCAAAAGGAGGAATCCACTCGAGGAGGGTGCGTCTGATTAGCTAGTTGGTGAGGCAATAGCTTACCAAGGCAATGATACGTAACTGGTCCGAGAGAATGATTAGTCACACTAGGACTAGAGACACGGTCTAGACTCCTACGGGAAGCAACAATGAGAAATTTTTCGCAATAGACGAAATTCTAATGAAATAATGACGCGCGAAATTAAAAGTTTAGATATCTATCCGACATTTTTTAAATTTATTAATAACTTAAATTGTAATAGAGTGGATGGTTAATATTTTATATATATATATTCTCTATTTTCTCTCCAAATTTTAAAATTAAAAAATTATTTATAAAAAAAAAACCATTAGAATGGTAAAATAATTTCATCACACGTGCTACAATAGCCGGACAAAGGGTCGTGATTCCGCGAAGGTGAGCTAACTCCAAAAATCCGTCTACAGTTTGGATTGTAGGCTACAACTCGCCTACATGAAGTCAAAATCGCTAGTAATCGCCGGTTAGCCATACGACGGTAAATTCATTCTCGGTCTTGTACACACAGCCCGTCACACTATGAGAGTTGGCCATGCTCGAAGTTGTTACTTTAACCACTCGTTATTAATAGTTTATATTAAATATATATCTATTTTACCCTCAACTTTAATAATGAGTTATTAATAGTTTATATTAAATTATAAAGAAAGTAAAATTCACTTTATAACTAATAAATTGTTATTTTTCAAATCATCTACAACAGGTAGAGGTCACATATATTTTAAAAAGTTGCAAAAATTAAATTAATTAAAGTAAAAAAAAAATTAATTTACAAAAATAAACCAAAAATATCTGTGATATTTAATTTACCCTATATTTTTTATAGGGTCCTAGGGTTAGATATACATATATTCGTAGCAAAATATCGAAAGATTGAAAGACCTATAAAACGTTCAAACACAACTAGGTGATTACGACAAGACCATATCACAAAGATATAATACAATTTTCAAGGTCATACCATACCGTCCAATATAATTCTAATGAAATTTTTATGTAAATAGATAACTCTGGCCTATCGTTGTTGGGTTGATCCGGTTGGTAGTTCCTACATCTCATGTGTCTCCACGAGGGCTTACAATAGTTCTTGTGCACATAGATAGACAATTGTGTTAAGTTTTCATGCATACGAAAGAAAAATGTCTTCACAACGAATGGTTCTTAGCAACAACACAGTTCATCTTTGGCCCACGTAACCTTAGCTCGATTCTACAACAAAGCCTTAATATTAACTCAACAATTTTGAAAAACGAGCATTACTGCATACCAAAAGTATAACAAACGGTTAGAACGCTTGTCCAAATTTAGTTCTTATTCAAAGATAGGTATCCTATTTCCAATAAATAAGATTGAACGAACATGTCAAACCTCAATTAAAACACAAAAAATGACTCTAAGACAGTCTCAACAAGAGAAAAAACCAACATAGATTGAAGAACCATTCGAATCGAACTGAAATTAGGGAAATAACCACTTCCTATGTCTGAACACTAGCTTAAGCACAAGAACGTGTTGGTTATAGCATCACACCCCTGCAAATTCTATGTGCTGCTATATCGTCCATACTCTTTATTTAAGGCTTGCTTGCATCCAAGTACCTTGTTGTGGTTGTAACATTGTGGTCGTCTCCTCTAAACTCTTGGATGCACGATAAAACAAGTCATAGCTAATTTTACATAGAAGAATATAAAATTTATAGAGAAAAAACATTAAAATGTATAAAAATATTAACTATTATTTTAAGATTGACGTTTCGATTTTTCATACTCGTGTTCTTGTGATAGCAGGACAGCAATTGTGCGGCACTTGTTCTAAACAAGCGAACAAGTCAGCATTGAAAAATTCGAACGTCGCGAACAATGCCGACGTATATGCGGGCATTAAGTCACATTACGAGAAAAAGTTTAGAAAACATGAGCAATGAAATACATTGGAAACAGGTTTGAAGAATTGAAGAAATGAAAGTTATATGACTATAAACAAATAAACGAAATTTAGAATATGTATGTTTATATGGGTTGATAATTTGATTAACTCGAATAACCTAACTCAAATCATAAATGTTGAATTCAATTATTGTGTTTTTTTTTTGAATTTGGGTTGGATTGAATTTTTTGAAAACGTTAGCCAGTTAAATTTTTATTTAAAAAAAGAAACTTAATTTAATTTTTGAAAACGTATTTAAAAAATAGGGGTAAAAAGAATAGATAAATAAATAAATAAAAATACATGGTGGATTTGGTTTAGAGATTTAAATAGAAAATTAATGATTTTATTTTTACATTATATTTTTAATAATTAAGCTACAAGTGGTCTTTTTTCTAAAAAAAAAAATATTTTTTTTCAGGAACAGTGTTGGAATCTTACTAAATTAAAATGTATATTTTTGGAAATAAAATCCCATATTTGGTTATTTGTTTTCTTTTTATTAAATATATATTTTTTGAAATTGAAAAAAAAAAACTATTAATAACTATTCTGTAGCTTTTTAAATTGTTTTTTAAAAAATTGCAATATTACACTTGTATTTCAAAACTAAAACAAAGATAAATATTGGAAATATTATTTTTATAATTAACTTAAAACATATGTAAAAATTATTAATATATATATTTTAAATTTTTGAAATTGACTTAAATAGGATATATTAATTAGTCAATAATCCCAAAATATGTAGGGCTCAAGGAATTAGATAATTATTGGCCAGTAATTAATATGACGTGGAGCTTACGCAATTAAAAGATAAAATCGAAACAAAAACTGTTTTTTTTTCTTTACTTATCCGAACAGTATTTAATTTGGAATTAAATGTCTTAAAACAGAGCCCAACGCCGAAAGCCTAAAACAGAATCAGAGAGAGAAAACGGTTTTTCTCTCGATGGAAGACGAAAATAAACTCTAGTCATACGGTTTCTTCCTCGGGGGAGAATCCTCAATCATTTTTTGATGACTGAAAATTCTCCATTCATTTCAAAAAATTCGTCTGCTTCGTCTCTTTCCTGTTCGTGGCTTTCTTTTGTCCTGTTTGTTTAGAATTAATTGTATTAGGATTTTTTTTTATTGTTCCACTGGGAGGATCAAAATGAGGATTGAGAAGGAGGCCGAGGCTGTTTCAGCGTCCCGAAATCATCTGGTTTTCGCTTACTATGTTACTGGTCATGGATTTGGCCACGCTACTCGCGTTATTGAGGTCAGCTTTGTTCATCCAATTCTATTGATCGTGTTTAGAATCAACTTTTTTTTTTTTTTTTTTTTTCCTTCTGGTTTGATCTTGTTGATGAGAAATTGTGAGTTTGACTTATGAACATGGAACCTGTAGGGCTGGAGATTTCGAATTAAGCTGAATCATCGAGGAATTTTTGGGTTTATTTAGCGTGTTCCTTTTGAATTTCGATTTTGGGGTTTTGTTTTATGTGTTTTGCTTCGTTGAGGGAGTGGTTATATGGGACGTGAGAATTTTCCCATTTTTGTTTTGATTGCTTACTTTTTACTCCGGCGATCATATCCTGATTATCGAAGATGTTTGACGTAATGCTTATGTGAAAAGGTGGTTCGACATCTTATACTTGCTGGGCACGATGTTCATGTGGTCAGCGGTGCTCCGGAGTTCGTTTTTACTTCGGCAATTCAGTCTCCTCGGTTGTTCATACGAAAGGTAATTTCAATTCCAATGGCAGTTCAAGAGATTCGTTTCCTTTCTTTTATGAAAGTTTAATTTGATTTTCATTCTTTTTCTTTGATGTTTAATCAATTTCTTGTGTTTTACATTTGCGATGCATTTTTGAATGCATGACCGTGTCATTACTTAGAACAATCAGTATAATTTGATTTGGATATGCAAACCATGTCAATTCTTATGCGACAATGATTCTGTAGTGTTTGTAAAAGTCTCATTACTTATCAGGTATTGTTGGATTGCGGAGCTGTTCAAGCAGATGCACTGACAGTGGATCGGTTGGCATCATTGGAGAAGGTGAGTGGAGAAATATTTAATGTTTTTTTTCTTGTTTATTGTGAGATCCCACTTCAGTTGGAAAGAGGAACGGAGAATTCTTTATAAGTGTGAGGAAACATCTCTCTAACAAACGTGTTTTAAAATTGTGAGATTGACCACAATACATAAGAGGCCGAAGCTGACAATATCTCCTAGCGGTGGGCTTGGGCTGTTACAAATAGTTTCAGAGCCAGACACAGGGCGGTGTGCTAGCGAGGACGTTGGACCCCCAAGAAGGGTGGATTGTGAGATCCCACATCAGTTGGAGAGGGGAACGAAGCATTCCTTATAAGGGTGTGGAAACCTCTCCCTAGTAGATACGTTTAAAATCGTGAGGCTGATAGCGATACGTAACGGGCCAAAACAGATTTATCTTCTCACCAATTATTTGTTTCCATTATTCTCCCCTGATCCCTTAAGAAAAGAAAATACATTGAAGGCTGGAGCTACCGGCTACTTCACTAAATTCTTATTAGTTTATGCTTTATCATTTTCTTTTTCCTTCTAATTGTGTTGGCGTTTTTTTTTTTTATCTATTAGTATCATGAGACAGCTGTGGTGCCTCGTGCTTCTATTCTGGCAACAGAAGTAGAGTGGCTC